AAGTTCAATACCCAGTAGGCCTCCCAGGACTGTGTGTGGACAGAGTAACATCGTCATCCTCCAGGAGCACATTCTAAACTATCTGACTGTAGTAACCATTTTGACTGTCCGCTAGAAATGGAGGAACTACTGGCTGCTTCTGCCTAGCTACCAATTTGCAGGAGCCTGCCAACTTCCGGCCAGTGCATCAAGGCTGATGGTGACCGTGGCTGTGCGCTGTTGTAGTAGTGGTTACAAGTGCCAGCAGTGGCCATGCCTTTCCTGCTCTTCCTATCTAAAGTGCTTTACCTCTTCTGGATCCTTTACTCCTTGACTCTCTGATTCCTGCCACTTCCTGGCAGCTCTGACAGTGTGCTAGGCATCTTTTTGCTTCTTCTCTGCCCCTCCCTAGAGTGTGTAAGCTCCACATAGGCAAGAACTGTCAGTTGTTCAGATTCTCCACTGTAGCTAGGACGTCGAGGAAGGATGCTGGGAGTTGATTTGTACCAGGTACAGTACACTGAGTACTTTATGTGATTATTTCTTCTCATCTTAATTTAGAGGTAGGAGTTACCTTGTTTTATAAATGAAGAAACCGAGGTCCCATGAGATTAAGAATATGGCACAAAGTCATACAGTCTGTGAGTGGCAGGGCTGGGATTTGGTTCTGGATGGCTGCTCTATGAACTCCTTAATTGCTAACCTTTCTTGACCTTCCTTTCTTGCACAGGGTCTGGGGACATGGCCAGAAAGGCTCTCAAGCTTGCTTCCTGGACCAGTGTGGCTCTTGCTGCCTCTGGTGTCTACCTCTACGGTAACAACTACTTGGACCCTAATGACTTTGGTGCCGTTAGGGTGGGCCGAGCTGTTGCTACGGTAGGTTTCCCTCCTTTGGGGGTGGCAGAGGAGTTACAGCATCGCTTGTAGGTGTTCATAGGTGCGGCAGGTGGGCGGGCTGACATATATGGACATACAGGCATGTCAGCTCTGTGTAGCTGGAAGTTTTCCTGTGTCCCTCCCGGTCTGCAGCTGCTCAGACCTGAGTCAACACACAGAGACTTATATGAATTAAAACTGCTAGACCATTAGCTTAGGCTTACTACTGACTAGCTCTTGCACTTAAACTCAGCCCATTTCTGTTAATCTATATGTCACCACACGTTCCAGGGCTTTACCTGTGTGCCATTACATGCTGCTCCCTTGTAGTTGAAGTTTTCCTGTGTCCACTCAGGTCCTGAAGCTGCTCAGACCTAAGTAAACACACAGAGACTTATATTACTTATAAACTGTATGGCTGTGGCAGGCTTCTTGCTGTCTAGTTCTTGTATCTTAAATTAACCCATTTCTATAAATCTATACCTTGCCACATGGCTCATGTCTTACCGGTATCCTTACATCTTGCTTCTCATGGCAGCAGTGGCTGGCAGCATCTCCTGACTCAGCCTTCCACTTCCCAGAAGTCTCCTCTCTGCTTATCCTGCCTATACTATACTTCCTGCCTGGCTACTGGCCAATCAGCATTTTATTTATCAGTCAATCAGAGCAACACATTCACAGTATACAGAAAGATATCCCCAGTATTCCCTGGACAGTGGGCTGGCATTTCCTGACTCAACCTTCCTCTTCCCAGAATTCTCCTTGTCTGCTTATCCCGAATATACTTCCTGCCTGGCTACTGGCCAATCAGCATTTATTAAACTAGTGTACAAAAGCATAATCCCACAGCAATTCCCCTTTTCTGTTTAACTAAAAAGGAAAGTTTTAACTTTAACATAGTAAAATTATATATAACAAAATAGTTATCAAGCAAGAATTACAGTTATAATATCTAGTCTGTTTGTATTTGGCAAAATTAAAGAGGATATCTATCTATTCTATATTTGTGAGTCTAAGGTTTCATATCTACTTTATCTTTTGTTATAACCAAGGAATATTATAATTATAACTATGTAGTGTTCAACTACATCAAAGACCTCAGAAGGATGCATTATTATCTAAGTAAACAAGAAGAGCATTGTAAGCAACTTCCAAAAATCTCGAATGACAGAGGCAGCTGCCTGCCTGGACAGTTACCCAAAGTTCCTCTGTAATGTTGGGGCATCCATCTTCAACCCATAGGCCTAGTCTTTCAGTCATTTTTTTTCTCTGTGTCCTGTAGAATGTCTGGTAGTTTCTTCTGCAAAGCAGGAGCCTGAAGAACCATCTCGCCTTGCAAATTTCAGTGGTCACCTTCTTATGGGTCCTGCATGTCTGGTTTATACAACATTTTGTCGAGCAGCCCAGGGAAGAACAGTTTCTTGTCCAAATGGCTATTTTTGCCAGGAAGAAGATAAACTCCATATGGAGTGTCTTCGACGCCCATCTTCCTCTTTGAAGTAAATCAGTGCTGCCAGGAGCAGACATGTCTCACTGTCCAGAAAGTCTAAGTTTTTTTTTTTTTTTTTTGTTTTTGTTTTTGTTTTTCGAGACAGGGTTTCTCTGTGTAGCTTTTGCGCCTTTCCTGGTACTCGCTTTGGAGACCAGGCTGGCCTCGAACTCACAGAGATCCACCTGCCTCTGCCTCCCGAGTGCTGGGATTAAAGGCGTGCTCCACCACCGCCCGGCCTGAAAGTCTAAGTTTTTGAAACATTTTATATGCCATATTCTGTAGGTCTTTGAAGTGTTTGAAGATTAATTACCTAATTGAATTATATTATGTATACCTAGAAAATTCAACATGACTATAAGTTTGACTGTCATAGAAGACTAATTATTAATCTGTATTTCTTAATTATCCATGATAATTCAAATGAGTTATATAAATATAATACCTTAAACAAGAGTAGATATGTATATACAGTATAACAAAATTAGCTTTAAATTTGTATCAGTAAACTAAAATCTATACCAATGTCAAACATTTTAAATAAGTTGCTCTTTGAAAGTAGGTTCAACAATCCACCTTTTTATCCTATCATATCTATATCCTATATTTCCATATCATATCCTCCTTTCTTCTTTTAGAAAGATATTATGACCAATAACAACTTGTAACCAGCTACCTAAACAAAGACAAACAGCCATAATCTATTTCTTTGGAATGTGGGTGTAGTTTTCTAGGCTACTTCCTGCTGATTGGGGGCACTGGTAATCTTATGGGGACACAAAGAAAATTTTAGGATTATGGTCAAGTCCTGACTGGATTAGTCTGTGAGGCTGTATTCTCTGAGTGAGTTGCCTTGAAGTTGATTTTAGATGTTGGATGATCTGGGCCATGGTGTCATTGGAGACCTTTCAGGGGGTCTTGGCTGGTCAAACCATATTAGTCTGGAAGCAATCCACAGGTTCCCATATTCTGTGGAAACAAAAGCAGAACCTCTTTTCCAAAGCAATGAATCCTTAGACATAATTTGTTGAATCAAGATATCTTTAAAATATATATATTGGTTTAACTCAGCAGCTTTTACAATCAAATGTCTCTCTGAAGTTAAAAATCCCAAAGACAATATAATCCAGATTCTCTGTTTAATATCTTTACGTGGCTTATTTTTTATATTACCTTTACTGTCTCTTTAAAGCCTTTATTTTTTTAAACTTTCTATTTCTTTATATAACTGTCTGTATTCCTTTTCCTCTCTCTTCCAAGCCTATGTACATTTTTACACACATAGTAAACCATTTAGAGGTTTATTTAATCTGAACCTGACTTATTGTGAATCTGTTGCTTTAAACTGTAGAATGACTAAGACTGAAATGGTAGCTTTGGCTGCTGGCTCTGCCCACCTCAGCTTCCCAACATGGCAGGACTACATTTACAGCCAGCTCTGGGAGAACCATGCTCACCACTGACTCTGGGAAGCAGTGGGTCTATGCTTTCATCCAACAGCGTATAGTCCAGAAACTTCTTCTTGTTTTTGTTTTTCTGTTTTTTGTTTTTTGTTTTTTGTTTTTGAGAAACCCTGTCTTGAAATTTAAAAAATAAAAAAATAAAAAAGGAAAGTCATGAGTTTCAACTGAGAAAGGCAGATGGACCCCACAGTGAGCTGTCCATTCTCTGAAGACCTCTGGTCCTGTTCATCCTGATTTATTTATTATTCAGTGAGTTTATTTATTATTCAGTGAGTAAACCTTGCTGATAGCTGGTGCTCAGCACGTATAGGTGGAAAGAAATTAGGCTTTGGGTAAGTACAAATGAACACTTTTTTTTTTTGGTTTTTGGAGACAGGGTTTCTTTGTGTAGTCTTGGCTGTCCTGGAACTAGCTCTGTAGACCAGGCTGGCCTCAAACTCATAGATCTACCTACCTCTGCCCTCCTAGTGCTGGGATTAAAGGCATGCACCACCACTGCCTGGCTGTGAACAAACACTTTTGAATATAAATCTCAGAATGCAGTTTCTAAGGTCTTTAGCTGCTCAGCTCTGAAAACGAAAGTTTGAGCTTAAGTTTTCTCCATGCTGGAAGCCTGTGATTTTCTTGTTGACTGTGGATAAGGGCCCCTCATTGGAGGGTTTTGGCCAGAGGATCTAGAATGGAAACTCAAATTTAACAGCATTCATTTGGTTAGTATTTATTGAATGTCTACCTGTGTCGTGTAAAAGATGCTGGAGAGCAGTAATATGTAGGAAGGACCAGCCTTAAATTCAGACAGTTCACAAACAAGGAAGCAATTGGGCAAGTGAATTTAGAGGTGGTTGATTGTGGTCAATTATGGACAGTTTCTGTTGTATAAAGGCCACTTGAGATGGGACATCTCTGGATGAGTGTCGTTTGTACTCACCGCTGAAGGCCAGGAAGGAGCATCCAGGCTAAGATATGGGGGCTGAGCATCCAAAGGGTGGGACCAGTTACTTTTATAGACCCAGCAGCTCCTGTGTGGGGCTCCTGGCTTTGGCAGAGGTGTGGTATTTGATGTCCTCAGTGTTAAGCTTTCTCCTCCCTTGGTTCACAGACAGCTGTCATCAGTTATGACTATCTCACCTCCCTGAGGAGTGTCCCATATGGCTCAGAGGAGTATTTGCAGCGTCGATCCCAGGTAAGGAAACTGTGGGACCCATCAGAGCTGGGCCCGGATGGGGTGTGTCCGAAGAGTGGGCACAGAGTGAGCATGGAGGTAATGGTCACTGGCCATGGGGTTTGGGACAAAGGGAACGGAAGACCACCTGCTCCTTCTTATGCAGGTGCCTTAGTATCTGTGAGTGGGACTGCCAGCCCAGCTCAAACTGGGTCTTCCATACTGTGGTGGTTTGAAAGAAATTGGCCCCAAAGGGAGTGGCCCTATTGGAGGTGTGGCCTTGTTGGAGTGGGTGTGGTCTTGTTGGAGGAAGTGTGTCAACGTGGAGGTGGACTTTGAGGTCTCATATATGCTCAAGCCAAGCCACACTCAGTGAGTGTCTCAGACTGCTGCTTCCTGTTGCCTGTGAGTCAAGATGTAGGACTCTCAGCTATTTCCAGCACCATGTCTGCCTGCATGCTGCCTCGCTCCGTACCATGATGATAATGGACTAAACCTCTGAAACTGTAAGACGCCATCTCAATTAAGTGTTTTCCTGTGTAAGAGTTGCTGTGGTCATGATGTCTCTTCACAGAAATAGAAACCCTAACTAAGACACATACTAAGGCCGTCGCATGTGGTTGGGGAGGTAACTGTGTGTTTCTGGTGACAGCAGGGACGTAGGCCAACTCAGGAGGGATAATAACTTCTAAGCTGTGTTGTTAGGCAGAAAGAGGTGAATTATTTTCTGTTCGCTGAAGGCCAGTGGCCTTCAGTAGGGGTAGAGCTGTGGACCTCACACACCTCCGCAGTCAGAATGTAGTAGTTGATGTAGATGCATTAGAGATACCAGGGAGATGGGGGATCAAACATGAGGTCAAACAGAGCGAAGCTGACAACAGATGGGCGTGTCTTTGCTCAGGTGGTTCCTGTGGCCCAACTGTCCTTAGAATGCTGAGGTTTGCTTCTGGGCTCAGCGTGGACACCTCTCCTCTGTGCTGCTTTCTTTCTAGGCATCCTTTGTGGATTGGAGAGTTAATGAAAACATTTTCATTTAAACTCTTCACTTTGCATGTTTTAACTGTCTACAGAAGTAACATAGAGAGCAGAGCATAGTGTAATGACCCCACTCCTCCCCTGGAACTGTCCAGCCTGAGGAATGATTGATTTGTCATTTCTCTGGTTTATTTATGCACTCTGAAGTGTTTAAACGAAACCTCAGGTGTCATATTGTTTTACGTATAAATTCTTCAGTACATGTCTCTAGTAGAGAAAGACCTTTGAAAAACCACAACCATAATAATATTGTGGTCACGTGTAACGAGATGAGCAATTTCACAGTAACTTCTGGTTCGTGTCCAGGTTGCTCTTCTCCCAGAAATGCCTTTTTAAAGTACTGTTTTAAATTTATGAGTATGTGTGAACTCTGTGTGTGTGTGTGTGTGTGTGTGTGTGTGTGTGTGTGTGTGTGTACATTGGGTGCCTACTCTACCACACTCTGCTTGATTTCCTTAAGGCAGGTCTCTCACTGAACCTGGAGTGAAGCTGGAGGTGAGCAAGCCCCATGTGATCCTCCTGTCTCCACCAGGTTCACAATGCTGGGGTTAGAGGTGTACGACACCACATCTGGCTTTTTACCTGGAATCTGGGAATTCCTGGAATCTGAGGAAATCCAGGTCCTCAGTTTAAGCCATCTCCCCAGCCCTGAGATTTATCTATTTATAGTTAGTTTGTTCCAACCTGGATCCAAACATTGTATTTATATATGTATGTATGTATTACATTTTGCTGACATTCCCTGAGTCTTTTAGAATCCATAACATTTCTTCTCTCTTCCTTTGTTTTATTTTTTATTTAGTTATTCACTTGTTGGAGAGCTGGATCATTTATCCTGTAGAATTTCCACATTCAGGTTTGGCTGATTGCCCCCTCAAAGTGCTATTTAATGGGAAATGCATTCAGATGACTCACAATTCAAAATATACAATATTTGAAACAGACAAAATGACCCTTGTTCCTCAGGTACCCAATTTCCCTGCCTGGAGGCAATCATCATTTCTTGTCTATCTTCCCAGAGCTATCTTCCTATAATTTAATCACTCTGTCTTTATTCCTGCCATAGATGATAGTTAGTTACACATCTTTTCTCATACTCTTGCTTCTCTTACATTGGAGATTGGGGCTCTCGGTTTGTATATTTAATCTTCAGCAATAATGCCTAGGATGGGGCTGGAGAGATGGCTCAGTGGTTAAGGGCACTTGGCTTTTCTTCCAGAGGACCCAGGTTCAATATCCAGCACCCACACAGCAGCTCACAGCTGTCTGTAATGCTTACACCAATGCACATAAAATAAAATTATACCAGCCTTTTTCTTTTGGGTCACCAACCAGCTCCCAAATCATAACATGGAGACTTATTAGTTTTGAGTGCCCGGCTTTAGCTTAGTTCATTTCTGGCTAGCTCTTTTGGCTTAAATTAACCTGTTTCTCTTTATCTTCCTTTTGCCTTGGGGTTTTTTACTTTCCTTCTCTGTATCCTACTTTCACTGCTTCTCATGTGTGCTGGCTGTTGGCTCTCTGGCTTCTGGCTCCGGGTGTGTCCCCTATTCTCTCCTCTTCTCCTTCTTCTTCTCTTGTTCCTCCTTCATTCCTCTGGAGCTTGGATTTCTGCTCTTATTTATTCTTTCCCTGCCAGCCCTGCCTATCCTCTCTTTGCCTGGCTATGGGCCATTCAGCTCTTTATTAGACGCATCACGTGCCCTACGCAGGCAAGGTAAAATAAATGCAACACATCTTTTCATGATTAAACAAAGGCAGCAGAAACAAAATTGACACACCTTTACACAGTTAAAGTAACATTCTGTAGCATAAACAAATGTGACACATCTTTGCCTAGTTAATATTCCACAACATAAAATTAAATAAATTATTAAAAAAAAACCCCAATGCCTAGAATAGAATGGGTTTAATGTCTGTCTCAGTGTCAGCTTATGCCCTTGCCTTTGGAGAGGCCACAGAAAGAGTCTAAGGTTTTCATCCAGAATCCTGAGGTTGTACCTTTGCTTTGGGAAGGTCATCCAGCCCTGTGGAGTGGCTCTTTTCCTTGTCTGTAAACTAGAGATGGTGATCACCGTTGGAGTCAGTGAAAGATAAAGCAAATGTGAAGGTAAGTCAGAGGTCTCCTGGAAGGTGTGCTTCATGAGGACAGACCTGGTGTAGGGTGTGAGTTTCCAGGTCTGCGGTACCGATACAAGTGCCTGAGACTTAGTTGGTTCTGAATAAAGGCTTGAACAAATGAATGAATGGTATCAAGGCTTCTCTGTAATATCTCAAGGCCCTTGTCTTTGAGGTGTAGTTCTCCTCTGCTTTCCCCTACGTCCTTTCTTCATCTATTCCATGCCGTGGCCCTTGGGATCCTCCAGAGTGACATTCTTCAGAGATTTCCAGGCCAGGACTAGGGCAAGGTTTGTCTTGGGGAATCCCGGGAGCAGACGGGCTGCGAAGAGACTTGCTGTCCAGTATGTAAGTCATCTGGAAGGCAGTGATCCTGCAGCTCCCCTAGAAGCTGCCGGCTCTGGGAATCTGGTGAGGGAAGTACAGCTAGGCCTTTGATGAGAGGGCAGTACGCAGTGGCTGGATGCACCCGATAACAGAGTGTAGGTTGGGTCCTGGGAGTTGTGCCTGGGAAGGGGATCCAGCAGGCACAGAAGAGCGTGGATAAATACTGCAGGAATGGTCTCAGCATCGCAACTGATAAAGGAGTGAGCAAGGAAAAGCACCATTAGCTCCCTCGGCAAGCCGGCATCTCCAGGTTCCAGAGTGTGTTAGAGCCCGGGGGCTTAGTGCAGCAGTCAGTGACCTGAAGGACTTTCAAGGTCGGCACTGGCAGGCTGGCTCTGTGTTCACACACACTGCATCACGAAGGGAGGAAGAGAAAGCATGTGGCGGCGCTTTGCTAGGCAGCTGAGGGCCTAAGGGTGGGCTCCGGAGAACTGGATTCCTGGTGCCTAGATGCTTGTAACTGAGGTTTGTGTCAGTGGACATGGTCACCATCCAGAAGGAAGTCGCTCCCAGTATAGATGTCTCGTCAAAAGGCTGGAGGTGACAGGACAGGATGGAGTCGATTCTGAATGAAGGATCATTGGGCGATAGTGGGTATCCTCTTCATAGGAAACAACTTCTGGATTTTCCTTTGGTGGTCTACCGTATTGTATTCTCCCTCTCTCTTACACACACACACACACACACACACACGCACACGCACACACACACACACACACACACATGCACACACACACACACACACGCACACATACACACACGCACACACACACACACGCACACACACATACACACACGCACACACACATAGTTGTATGAGTTTTAGGTCTCCACAAGCAGTTGTTCGAGTCAATTCTGCTAGTCCCAGATACTGATTTAGGGATGGTCCCTAGAGCCAGTTCTGACCAGTGAACATCAGGTCCAAACATTTCTTTTGAAACTTCAACTTTCTTTTTCTGTTGTGTTAACTGAGAGTGTAGGCTGTTGGCTAATTTCTGCTGGCAGCCATCCGGCCACTGTGAAGAGAAAGCCCATTTGTGGGTGAAGTTGGTATTAAAGAGTTGGGTTATTTGAGTTCCTGTTAAAACCAATGATTCTTGATAATACTGGGAACTCTTGGAGAAGAATGTCTGGGTTTGAAGCATGATTGGCATTTTGACAGGTCACAGCAAGATCAATAATTCAAGGGAAATGATGCCAAGGAGAGGTTTGTATGGTACAGGGTTGAAATGGAGCCACTGTGGATCAGGAGCCATCTCACCCCGCCTTAGTCCTTGCCAAGCACCTGTTTCCTCTCTGTAGAATGTGGCAATGGCCTGAGCCATTGAATGGACAGAGAGGAGAAAGTTGGTGAATTTAGGCATGTGAATTATTTTCTTTGTAGATGAGATCTTGCAACACAGGTTTACCTTGATGGCTCCTTATTTATTTATTGTATGTTTTGTGTTGTTGTGTGTATAAGATGCCTGTACTTGTGTGTGTGTGTGTGTGTGTGTGTGTGTGTGTATGTGTGTGTGGTGTGTACTTGTGCACGTATGTGTGTGAATTTGGAGACCAGAGGTTGACGATGGGTGTCTTTCTTTGATTGCTTTCCATCTTTACTTATTTATTTAATTTTTTTTTTTGGGGGGGGGCTGTGTTTCAAGATAGGGTTTCTTTGTGTAACCCTGGCTGTCCTGGAATTGGCTCTGTAGACCAGACTGGCCTTGAACTCAGAGATTCGCCTGCCTCTGCCTCCCAAGTGCTGGGATTAAAGGCGCGCTCCACTACCGCCTGGCTCACCTTTAGTTTTTGAGACCGGCTCTGTCACTGAACTTGTGGCTCATCGATTCAGCTAGGCTGTCAAGTGAGCTTCAGGGTTTGCCCATCTCTTCTCTCTCAGAGCTTGGGTTATATGTGCATGCTGTCATACATAGATTGTTTTCTTCCTTTTTTATAATAATAATTTTTTACTATTTTTTGTGTGCATTCGTGTTTTGTCTGCATATGTGTCTGTGTGAGAGAGTGTTGGATCCCCTGGAACTGGAGTTAGAGACAGTTGAGAACTGCCATATGGGTGCTGGAAATTGAACCTAGAGGGACCTCTTAGACAGTTAAAGCAGATCTGGAAAGAGAAGAAGAGAGGAAGTATGAATGAACTGGACGTGCTGCCCCCCACCCCCAATCTAATCAGTGACTCCTTCTGACTCAAGTAGGAGAGGGAAGAGAGAGGTTAGCCTCATGCCCCACTGAGACACCCCCACCTCTGTGAAACTTAGGAGAGGGGTTCCCCAGCAGCATGCAGGTGAGATGGAAGGCAGATCTAAGTCTGCTATGAGAATCTTTTGTGCTCATCAAATTCTGAGAACTGTTATATGTGACCTTGGTTGGGCTTTAGGCTGCTTTAGATTGGAGGGTGAGATGTTGAATTTGGCATTGCGAAGATCTGCAATTAAGGGGAGAGGTCTGATGTTAGCTTTTAGAATCCTGAGATAGCAGGGTGTTTGGGTGTAAAATGAGCTCCCTTTTGGACCAGTGGGTAGGAACCAGAAGAGTATAGTAATGGGCTAAGGTGTGGTGGTATTTATAGGTAACTGTTCCATTGAACTTGAGAAGCATCAGTTAGTTCTAGCTTCCGGTGTAAGGTTCAGAATTGGAAGGCCAAGGAAATGATGGGACTCCTTTGGCTCACCCCACCATTCCAGGCTTGATAGTAACATTTAGACCATGCCACCCCCACCCCCCAAAAAAATCTCATGTTCTTTATACCTTACTCTGTTTCCTTATCTGCTTCCAGCCCGAGGAAAGCACCCCAGCAGTAGAAAGCAGAAGTCAAGAGATCCACGTGGTGGCTCTCACCAGCTCCTGCTGCTGGAGTTGCCTCTTGGCCTCGGAGCCTGAGTCTGGGGCCAGGCTGCTGCTGGGGTGGGCCTGAGGGGTGAAGAGGAGGAAGGAGGGCCACAGAGCTTCTATCCCCAGAAGTTCCTTCTCTACCTGATCCATCAGACAAGCACTTAATTCAGCAAACGTCTGGCATTTATATTCCCCAATGAAGGGGTGAGTGGACCCGCCGAGGATGTTAGCCTTTTGCTTCTGGAAGGAGAATCAACTCTTCAGCTGTTGAACAACTGCTTGTGTTGAGGACAGTTCTCCCTCCAGCCTAGAGAACGGATTCTAAGGATCTTGGTTTGCAAAGGGGAACTGTAGCAATGTGTGGCTCTTCAGGAATATTCTCTGAGATGTGAGCACCATCCTGCCCAAACCATTTTTTTTCTGTTCTTTCTTTCTCTCTTTCTTTCTTTCTTTCTTTCTTTCTTTCTTTCTTTCTTTCTTTCTTTCTTTCTTTCTTTCTTTCTTCTCCTCCTCCTCCTCTTCCCCCTCTTCCTCCCCTCCTCCCTCTCTTCCTCCCCTCCTCCCCCTTCTCCTCCCCTCCTTCTCCCCTTCTTCTCCTCCTCCCCCCCTTTCCCCCTCCTCCTCCTCTTTCCCCTTCCTCCTTCTTTTTTGTTTTTTTGAGACAGGGTTTCTCTGTGTAGCTCTGACTGTCCTGGAACTCATTTTGTAGACCAGGCTGGCCTCGAACCCACAGAGATCCGTCTGCCTCTGCCTCCTGAGTGCTGGGATTAAAGGCGTGCACCACCACCACCCAGCCCAAACCATTTTTCTATTCAACTGTCCCTCTAGCTGACTTGAATTAACCCATTTTATGCCTGGTGCTGCATGAGGCTCAGAAGATATACAGGGAAGGAGACTCAATCTCTGCCCTCTCTCGTCACTCCTGCTGTGTGCTAGGGGAGGAAAGGCAGGCATGTAAGACAGCTCTGTCTTCTTTGCAGCTCTGCTCTGTGGGCTGGAGTGTTTGACCCACGTCAGCAACTGGCTCCCAGTAGACTAGGGTGGGTGGGTGCCTGCTGGAGAAAGCCTCATCTGCAGCAAGGGGACTGTGTGGATTGTTCCACAGTTCCTCTGCATATGCAGTGCCTGTCCACCTGGTGTGGATCCTATTCTGTGGATTTTCGCGCTCTGTGCCCCAGAGACCTCCTTTTCCTGCTTCCCGTGGTTATCATGAGCGTTTGCCTGCGAACATTCTGCAGAGAGGACAATTGAATCCTCGCTATCTCTGTGACTGGCTCTCTCAGCGTCTGTGATAAATTCCACATGTAATGTGCTGGGGTGGGGTCACCTGAGGATTGGTTTCCTGGGGTGAGGGAGGCAGTCTATGATTGAGCTGGCATCTCCTTTCTGGCCTCTGTGTCCCCCAAGTCTTCCTGAGCACCATAAATCAGTGTGGTTCTCTGTAGGGGTCCCGAGCCTGAAGCCTTTGTGATCCGGGGATTGGTCAACAGGACCAACTGCCTTGCTGTAGTCTGGGAGACTCAGGGGACACTGTCTTCCCTTGGGGGGAAGCATGGTGGGACTGCAGCTTTTCCCTGGAGACTGGCTCACCTGTGGTGGCCTCTCCGTAGGCCCAAGGACATGCCAGTACCTACTTATTTGGTCTAGGCTCTTCAGTGGCCTGTGGACTGTGGCCATTAATGGCACCCTGTTTTGTCATTTCTGCAAACAGACTTTGTTTTTTAAAACATGTGAAACATTTAAGAACTGATACTGATAAAATTGCAGTTTTGAACTCATTTTTTTTCTTTAAATAAAAAATTAGACTTATTCATTTTATTTCATGTGTGCATATTTTACCTGCATGTATGTATGTGTGGTCATGCGTGTGCTTGGTGCCTCCTGAGGTTAGAAGTAGGCCTAGGACCCCTTGGAACTGGAGTTATGGGTGGTTGTGACCCACCATGTAGGTGCTAAGAGTTGAACCTGGGTCCTCTTCAAGAGCAACCGTGCTTTTAACCAGTGAGCCATCACTTTAAGATTTTAATCAATTACATTTACTTATTGATGTGTGCGTTGTTCATGTGTGCACTTGTACGTGCATGTGTGCCTGCGTGTGTGTGTGTGTGTGTGTGTGTGTGTGTGTGTGTGTCTGTCTGTCTGTCTGTCTGTCTGTCTTGCAGGAGTCAGTTCTCTCCTTTTGCCACATGGGTCCTGGGGATTGAACTTGTCAGTCTTGGCAGTAAGTGCCTTTACCTGCCGAGCCATCTTGCTGGTCCTCTCTCCTCTTTAATGTATATGCTAATAGCGTACCCTGCACTACGTAGAGCTGCCTATGGCACTCCATTTCACACTGTCACTGGCATTGGGAAGCAAGCCTAAACCATCTGGAGGGGATGCTGGGCCAGACTCTGGCTGGCACCCGCCCACCATCTTCTCTCCCCTGCTGAGTCTGGCCACACTCTTTCTGTTCTTCTCCTAGTTCCTCTTTTTTCTTTCTCTTTTTTAATCTCTGCGACTGCTTCAGGCTCCCAGAAGCCCGGTGAAATTGGGTTTTTACTTCTGCTGCTCTGAAGCAGCAATTACTTCGCATGCAAGGCTGTGGTTGTGGTAACGTGAAACAGGTCCCCGTACTTCTGGTGGTAAGAACGCTGCATCTGACCGTCGGGGCTCCTGCATTAGCTGAGTGCCTGTATGTGTGTGTCTGTAGTCCCTCACCTTCTCACTGCCTGGACCCTTGGGACAAACTGCTTTCTGCTTGTTCCAAGGGTCTTCTGGCTCCATGGGATGGCGGGGATGGGTGATCGTCCTGCTCCCCAGAGAGAAACGCATAGACTCTGTACCTAATTCAAGGCCCTCAGCAGGGCGGGGACTGCAGAAACCCAGCTTATGTCTGCTGCTGCCCATTTTAGATGCATCCCGGTCTGATGAAGACAGGTTCTCTGATGCTAAGAGTAACATTCACAGGTACCTGAACAGCAATTATGAGACAGGTATGATGCTAAGGACTCCGTAATCTGTCCTAACTCCCAGACAATCCTGCAATGTAGATACCATTGTTCTCATTGTAAAGAAACTTAAAAAATAAATTTCCTAGGTTAGAATACAAAGTACTGGGGTTCGCAACGTCATCCTCATACATTTGTTGTTATACTTTGTTCTTGTTTTCCCCCCTCCCACGGATTTGTCCTGTGTCCCTCCTCCAGCTGATTCCTTCTCGCCCAGTCAGGAAGAAACTCTGGCACAGGTTAGTCAAGTGACTTGTCTAGGGGTCCACAGCTAATCAGTTACCTCCCTGTGATTGTCATATAAACTACTTAAAATGAGTAGCTTGACACAACAAAAATGTACCCTCCTATAGTTCCGGATGCCAGAAGTCCAAAATCAAAGGACTAACAGGGGTGTGCTGGTTCTGGGGGCACTATGGAAGAATCTGTAGCCTCCTTGGAAGCTCCAAGCAGCCCTGTGACTGCATCTCTCTAATTTCTGCCTCCATCTCCCCCTCTCTTTCCTGTGGGGAGGGTTGCCATGGGTTTAGACATGTCTCTCTTGTCTCCCGGGTCGTCTAGACTGATCACATCTGAAAATTCTCAGTAATGTTGGCAAAAGTTCTCTTTCTAAATAAGGTTACAATTTTAGATTCCAGGGGCTAGGATGTGTCTGTATCTGTGTGTGTGTGTGTGTGTGTGTGTATGTGTGTGTGTGTGTGTGTGTGTGTGTGTGTGTGTGTGTGTGTTGGAGAGGTAAGCTGCTGTTCAGCACACCCCAGGAGCTCAAATGAGCTGCATGGCGTAGCCCTTTCTAAACCTGTGCCAACTACTTCCTGATTGGGAGCACCCAGGACTCCTCAAGCCTGCGGTCACACAGGCATGGGTTGACTTGTTGTATAGAGAGTATGGACTGTTAAATCTTGGCATTCTGCTGACCTCCTACCCTCCAGGCCTTCAGCTCTTGGCTATTTCTTCTGAAGCCTTTCAGTCCGTTCATCCTGGATTTATGAGTTCTCACACCTTAATGTGTTCAGGAGGTCAAGCCTCAGGGGCTGTGAGGACAGCTTCATCCCTGGGCAGGTAGGACGGATGTGGTACTCTTCTTGCCTTAGTGGCCGCACCTCTAAAATAGGACTATGGGAATGACATGGTCCTCTTACTGAAGTGTGGCGGAAGGCGCTGCGGCCGCAGAGGTGGTTTGGCTGCTTGTTTAGAGCGGCAGCCATTGAACAGGCTCCTCTTCGTTCCTGTGTCTCACTGTTGTGGCCCCAAGCAGCTATTTTCTCCCAAATTAAAATCCACTCAGCGCTCTTCCTGTCCCCAAATAAAAACTCCTCTCCAAGCTCTTGCCTGTTACAGCAAGACTTTTTTTTTAAAATAGATTCTGCCTCGTAGAACCATGAGGCATATGTCCAATTAGCAGAATAATTTTGCTTAAGTATACAAATAAACTGTTGACTGACAAGAGCGGCACATGTTTGAGGCTAATTTAAGGCAAAGTAGTTTGGGAACTGGGGTATTGCCTCTTCCCCCATCTCAACCTATGGCTAGGCCTTTCCTTAGGGGACCGATGTCCATCCTGACCATCGAGATGATGCAAGGTGGGGGTGGGATGGGGGGGTGGGGGGGGAGGGAATCTCCATGCTGTGCTTCATCATTGTGTAGAGTCTCCAAGCATGAATATTCACAGAACCAATGGGACAGCTACTGCTTAGCGAGCATCTATGGCATGCCAGCCACTCTGTGGGATGCTGGGTATACAGCGGTCCATTCTCGAGGGGACAAGAGGTGAGCAGCAGCTGGGGACCTCCCGAGAGCACCTGCTCCAAGAGGACAGGGACTTGGTCTCCCTTGCTTGCTGCCATGTTGGGACACTCGGCACAGTAGGCTCAGTGTGTATTCTTAGATGAGTTGTCGAGGGAAGGAAGAAGGTATTTTGAGCTCTTGTTGAGTGTCCCAAAGGAGAGAAAGATGGAGTCACAGGATAAAGAGCCACTAAGGGCGGGGTTAAGGAGAGCTCTCTGACCTCGGCTGTGTCTGGAGAGCTGTAAAAGAGCCAGCCAGGGAAGAGGGGGAGGCTGTTAGAGCTGGCTTTGCAGGTCCTGGGGCTCTGGGCAAAAGTGGCTGGGGCTAGGTAAGCCTGTTTCCTTCCTTGTGCCTATGTTACCTTGCCGCACTGATAATGGGTACTCTCGTGAGGTTGCAGCCTCCATGCTAGTTCGTGGTCAGGCTCTGCACCTGAAAGTGGTGGAAGATCCCTGTCATGTGACCTTTTGGCATTGCTCTGGTCATTCTAGCCACGGTTGGGGAGAGGTGCCATATGGCTCTCGTGTGACTCTGATTCTCCTCGAGCCTGTACCAGGCTCCCTGCAGGGCTGCAGGGCAGTGACAGACTGCAAGCCACCCTGGGCGGAGCTTCGGGGATTGCAGGGCAGAGGTAGGGAGGTTGGGGTTGGGGAGAGCCAATGTGCCAGAGCATGGGGAGTAGCCTCCAAGAACCCATCCTAAGGATGGAGAGTATGTGTGAGCTAAATCCCCCAGTGTGGACTCCACTACACCGTCAGATTTCACTTAGAAACATCAATTCAGAAATAAAGCATTTCAAGACAGCCACTGTGTTAGTTTCCTGTGGTTACTGTAACAAATTGCTATTGAATGGTGGCTTCAAACAATATAGACTTCGGGCATTGGAGGTCAGAAGCCCAGAATGATTCTCTGTGGGACAAAATGAAGGTGGTGTTCCCTATGGCAGCTCTGGAGGAGAATCCATCTCTTTGATTTTTGATTTTTCTGATTTCTACCTTGTTTTTTTTTCTTCCTTCCTTCCTTTGTTTTTTGAGACAGGGTCTCACTATGTAGCCTTGGCTGACCTAGAACTCATCATGTAGCCCAAGCTGGCCTTGAACTCGTAGAGATCATTCTGCCCCGACTTCTGCTGTGATTAAAGTTGTGCCACCACACCTGACTGTTTTTTATGGTCCCTCTCCCCATCCTCAAAGCCAGCAGCATCTGGTCCAGTCCTCAGCTGCTGTCTCTGCTGTGGGATGTTCTGTATGGCAAATGTGTTGCTAATTAGTCAATAAATAAAACACTGATTGGCCATTGGCTAGGCAGGAAGTGTAGGCGGGACAAGGAGGAGAATAAAGCTGGGAAGTGGAAGGCTGAGTCAGAGAGACACTGCCAGCCACCATGATGAGAAACAGCATGTGAAGATGCCGGTAAGCCACGAGCCATGTGGCAAGGTATAGATTTATAGAAATGGATTAATTTAAGCTGTAAGAACAGTTAGCAAGAAGCCTGCCACGGCCATACAGTTTGAAACCAATATAAGTCTCTGTGTTTACTTGGTCGGGTCTGAGAGGCTGTGGGACTGGCAGGTGAGAGAGATTTGTCCTGACTGTGGGCCAGGCAGGAAAACTCAAGCTACATGTCTCCCTGGTTCTCTTCTGTCTTTGTCTTTCACTTCTGAGAGCTGTGGTGATTACCTGGGTGCACCTGAGCAAGGCCACGAATCTCACTAGGAAGATCATGGGGTTATCAGCAACCTTATTTTCTTCCGCCAGGCTGTGAACTGCCGTTGGATCTGTTAAGAAAACAAATTTCCCTATGAAAAATTCCAAATGTCATTACAGAGCACAGAATAATAAAACGAATGTTGTACCTGGCGCCTCCACCTAAAATCCTAAAATATGTTGCCATAATTCTTTTGTTTGTTTACTGCTGGAGAGCCTTAAATAGTAATTTCAATCTACATCTCTAAACCAGGACACTTTGCTAAGAAATCACAGTGTCATTAGTGTACATAATGAGATTAACAAGTGTTAATGTCATCTGTGTTAGTATGGGGAG